ATTAGATAAACTGTTGTCAGTCATGTTGTCATTTAAAATCCGGACATCATTGGCAATGTTATTGTTTTAGTTATGCAAACAAAAACTCATTTTATTTGTTGTTTGTTGATTTTAAATGTAAAACTTGGTGAAATTATTTGTGTGTCAGTACTTTTTGAATATCTCCAGCACATTTTAACAATACCGTGATAATAATGATAACCGTGATAATTCTGGTCACTATAATCGTGATAAGAAATTTTCATACCGTTACATCCCTAACATGGCATAGTGTTATTTTAGCTATTTTAGAATTTGGTATATTTGTATTTTATTTTATTAATTTTTTTGTTTCATTTGTGTGTGTGTGTGTGTTTTGTCATTTTTATTATTTTTTTTAACATGTCTATATAGTTCTTAATAAAAAAATGTATTAATTGTTTTTGTCATTTAAATTTTTTTAATATTTTTATGTAGTTTTCAGATTTAGAATTAAAGTTGTTTTTTTTTTACAATTTATTTCAGTTAATATGTATTTCATTTAATGTAAATATTTTTATTGTTTTAATTTTTAGGTTTAGTTAGTTGTTTGGCAATTTGCATTGCATTATGACATGACAATAATTTCAAAATATTTAAGCAAATCTTCCTCTGGATCTCTTTTTCATTACTACTTTGAGATTTTTTTTAAATTCTCCTTATTCTTAATCACTATTTAAATAATTTATATAATATTTTTGTGGGAAATATGAGATTTTGGAAGGAAATATTCTTATAACCAATATGGTTATCAAATTATTAATGTCATGATATTTTTTACAATTATTAATGGTCTTAAAAATAGGTGAATGTCCGTATTGTTTTCACAAGGAAAATATAATATAATATAACATAATATTTTAATGTTTCTGGGGCTACTGGTCCACTAAACGTTCTTAAAAACCCATGAAATATTCTCAAACGTCAGAGTTGTAAGGTAGAACATGGGCTCTGCAGCACCCCCTATACATTGTGCATAAAGTTGGTGTAAAAACTGTCACACATATATGAACATACATGAATGAAACTCCGTACTTATATTGCTCTCATTGAGCTAAACAACTTACAAACTGACATTCATTAGCTCCGCCCAACAGGAAGTCAGCCATTTTGGATTTTGTTAAAAGTCCATGCAGTGAACTCATAAATATTCCTCCTAGGGGATTCATGTGATTAGTGTGTGTTCTATATTGCTATTGCTGTTCACGCTCTTAGCATTACTAGCTAGAAGCAGGAAGTGTGGCACTTACATCAGACTTATATTTACCCACTTAAATGCATCGTCTTTTCTTGTGTGTTGCCCGGTCATACGACTTAGGGGTGAAATATGACCAAAATACAGGGGCGCGGGAATATGTTTTAGGTTGGGGGTGCTGTGTGTGTCCGTGTTGGGGTGGTGGGGGGGCTGGTTGGTTCACTTATGCCGGTGCTCGTGCTGGGGCTGGTGTTGTTTGGATGCCGATTTTGGAAAGTTTTTGCTGGGAAATCGGGCATTTAAAAAAATCTGAAATTCACTTTTGCGCCATTATCTCCTTGTATTAAAGTTAATCTTGTTCACATTCTGTACAGTTCATGTCTGATACACGTGCCAGCGTCACGTGTTCATGAGGATTAGGCTAATCATCCCATATAGAAAACATCACAAGTAAAATTAATCATGTTTATAAAGATAAACATGGGTTTATTATAGCCCACTTACAATTTACATTTCAGAGATCATTACAAATAAATTATTAAATGCTAAAACTGAATAAATTTAAATGAACAAACTTGGCGTTGCATTTGCAACCCTGTGAAAACGGGGTGCTGCAGCCCCCTCAGCACCCCTACTTCCCGCGTCCCTGCCAAAATATACATATTTTGGACAGGTTTTGTGAGATTTCAGTTCCAGTGTTGATCAGTTACTGTACATACGGCATCTCTTCTTGCAGATGCGAGGGATTATTTCTAAAATGATCAACTGAATCAATTAAACATATGAAGAGTTCATTTGCAAAAACCGATAACTCAATTTATTTTGTTTTTTTTCAGAAATCAAGTTTTTTTTATTGTGCATTCCAGGTAATATCAATCAAACTGCAGTTGGGTTGTTTTGATTAAGTAATAATAACTTAAACAAATACAGGTAATTTACAAAAT